TATAGAGTCAAATCCATGGCAACATGTCAAGAGACCACAAATCAAAACCAGAGACTGTGTATCAAGTGAAACTGTCTGAAAGGACATGAGCCAAGCAAAAACCTTCAGGGGTTATTTGAAGGCAGCTGCCAGCTGTGAAGTGGGGAGTTCACAAGTGACTGGAACACACAGGGCTGCATGAAGGAGTGAGAAGGGGAAGGAAGGAATGGACGCTGTGAGGACAGAAGGCAGGTGTGGCTCAGAGAGAGACAGAGGTGCCCGATTTGGGTCACCTGATTCAGAGAACAATACAACCGACTGCCTCAAAGAAGAGGCTGCACCACCCGGGATCTCTCCAGAGTTTAAAGAAATCTCTTTTACCAAATGCTTAAGGAAATCTGGGAACAAATACTTAGAAGTGCTATGCATCTGAGACAGACTCAAGTTATAAAACATCTACTAACGGTGGGTGAACTAAAAGCAGAAAGCTGGGAAGGATCAGAAGAAAGGAGGATCTCTAATATGGACTGCAGCAGGACAGCTGAAATAGAATAAAGACCATATGATGTGTTCAATGAGGAAACACAAGATTTATAAGGCAGGAAGGAAAGTCAGGACACTTTTAAAGGAGAGAGAGGCTCGTTCTGCACTTGTCTGTGTGCAAATCCTGCATGGGGTTCATTTTTGTTCTTTATGTGCTGCTTCAGATAGTAAATGATTTATATTTTGTAAATCCTACCCACCTGCCCTCCTTTCATGAAATGTCCAGGAACTATCTGTATCCACCTTAATAAGGAGAAACTCTGGGATTTTCCTTTAGATGTGCTGATTTGCACACAGTAGGTTAAGTCAATACATGTTGTGCTGAAGCAGATTTAAATCAAAGTCAGAACTTCGTTTAGCAGCACTGGTTTTAATTTATCATAATTAAATGTTCATTTCTAAGCTGAATGGAAACTATCAGTTCTCTTTTAGAAACTACCAGAGAGTTAAATTTGGATCTCAGATATGCCACTAACCAGTTCTGTGATCCTCGGTCAAGTGACTTAATCTCAAGGACTCAGTTTCCTCATCTGTAAAATGGGTACAACAAACCCAACAGCTTTCCAGCGCTCATGTGGATAAAATAAGATATCACTCCCAAGGCAAGAGTTTAGCCAGCGCTTGGTACGGAGAAAGAACTGATGCAATATGAATTCTCTTCCCTTTCCCTAGTGCACCATCATATAACGTGATATTTAGAACTTTAACTCAGGCAATTACTTAAGTAGTAATTGCTATTTGTATTTACATAGCTGCTTTGATCCAAGAAGCTCAAACGGCTTTACTAAATTTTGCATTTTAATAAATGTTTCATTTGCATTCCGTTCGTTTTGTTTACCCACACCAAAACCTGGAATTTCCTAAAGCCAGAGAGTCAGACAAGTTAAGGAAACGAGATAATATCGTCATGTGTAACAGGTATTCCAGGTTGGAGTTTTACCTATTTACTGGAGAAGTCCTGACTCCCTGGTCCTGCGGGATTAAATGACAGGAGGAGGCACGAATGTACCTGCCTCCTTCTCGGCGCACCCTTCAGCTGCTGCCTGCTGAACCTCGTCCCCATCACGCTTCTCTCAGGCACTGACAACAGAGGTACGTTTACTGCACCAATGAATTTATATGTGTATATATATATGTATATATGTATATATATCATCAGCACAATAAACATTATTAAATTCTCAGAAGAAAATCAAAGCACGAAGCTCGGCGCCAGGGCTGAATTCTAATGATGCTGAATGTCCGTGATTGCACTGGGACGGGATCTTAACAAGCCTTGATTTGAGCGTTGGCATCCGCCTCACAAATCACATGGGCCGCTCCTCCCGTAATAGGGCTGAATATTGATAAATGTCTCTACCCTGCACAACAGGGAAGTGGGTTTCTATTGGCAATCTTTACCAAAGTGTGTTTCTTCCCTTCTCTACACTCAAGGGTTTACCCTGAATGATTTAATTATAATTTTCCTTGTGTAAGACAAATTAAAGAGGAGAGTAGGAGTGTCGTGCCAAGCACATTATTTATCTCCTTAACAGATTGCAGCTCACCAAACCCCAGAGCTGCTGCCGCAGCGGCTGCTCACAGGAGCCCGCAGAACGCGCGGGGGGCAGGGGTGGGGGGAGGAGCCCTCCGAATGGCACGGAACCCCGCAGCCTGGTCGAGATTACGAGATGTCTCACTACTTTTAAAAACAAACCCAAACTTTCACAATACTACGTTTGGCCAACAGATTTTCACATAGAACGCTACCAAATCCTTTCAGAAAGAATTCTCCAAGCTGTTAACCTAAGATACCACCCCAGGAGCATGGGGATGGGTGGGTGGGGGGAAGGGGGGGAAGGAGGGCGCTGCATAGACATCAAGGGAGAACTTCCAAAGAGACACATTTCACCAATGCCCTGGGTGAGTCAGGGATGAAACTTCTCCAAGGGACTTCTGAGACAAATGACAACTCAGTGTGTTAAGTGAGAACATATTTTGACAGTGATAGCTTTTTTTAAAACATTTCCCACCATTAACACGGTAATATCACACACGTGATCTGAATGTAAACCATCATAGGGTAAAACCACGTAAGTACTCACTGTAAGTCCTTACATACAAAGCTGGCTAACAAGTGAATTTTGAGTGATCAGCTCTGTAAGCTTCTAACTTGTGGAATCATCTTCCACCTAACATGTTCAGTTGTCTTATTTGCTACATTCAGTTAAAACATGCTGACTAGACTTTTTTTTTTTTTTCAAATCCAGCTATGTCCAGGAACCTGCCAGGTAACATAAACTGAGAGATTGAGGAGATGAAGTAGCAGCATATAATTTCCTAGTTGCTGCACAATTGGAAAAGTCAGCCTGTTGTTACATCCAGATGAAGGCTCAGTGGAATCTAAATTCCTTTCTGATCCATATTCTCATGCTGGCAGGTAGCATAATGAAGATTAAGGCCAACATGTGTACAGACAAATAAGGACCACAAAAGGAGAAATCCAACAAACTTATTCTCCTGGAATCAGACTGTCTCTTAGATCCATTTACCTTCAAATGCACCTTAAGACATGAAAAGGGCTATTCTTCTCCTTCTTGCTTCACTGCTAATCTACCACCTGACTCCACATATATAACCTTTGAGAAGGAGGCGGAGCACAGTGCATCTAAACAAGAAGCAGTTTCTGTGTCACAGAAGATCTGGGCAGGCTCCACAGTGGCCGACAAGATGACAACAAATACCTTAAGTGCATCAGTGGGCATTTTTCAGCCTCTGGCCTCCCGCTCTGCCTATGGATAAAGACGTAATTCAATCCCTCGGCAGTAAATGGACAGCACCAGCCTCAAGACGCCGACAGCAGATACAGCAGGGGACGACGGCCTGGAACCTCTCCTCTGAGAGCTGTCTCAGGTCGAGTTTTGTTTTTGTTTTTTTTTAATTACAAAGACATTCTAAGAAATTATAAGGCAAGAGCTGAGAGTGGCCTCCAAACATACAAATCTACCCTCACTGGAAACAAAAGAAGCCACCTGTGGCCCGGTGGCTCCAAACTAACTCTTACCATCCACCATACTGTTCTCCAAACTCTTCTAAACCAGTTAAGTTAAAAGCCTCTTTTAGCTCTTCTGTGTCTGTCACAGAACCTCCACACTGATTTGGCTAAAACATATGTAATCTCATGTCTGGAAACCTCTTATGGCTTTTACGTTTGACTGTGATACACACACAAACACACCCAAAAATACAGAAAATATTTTCTGTGATTATTAAGCTCTAAATGGATAAAATGCTGCTGGCAGAAAGATGCGCAGCC